TATATATATATATATATATTTTCATATTACTTATTATATATTACATATTATTACATATTATAAAATTATAATTATATAACACTATACATATATTAGAAAAACAGTATATTTTAAAATGTGCTTAAACTAACCACCATGAGATAGGTTTTGCATTTCTTTTCCATACAGTTTTGTGCGTAGTGCTCGATAAAATTTAACGCGTCTTGCTTTTTACTCAGATCAATAGTGATAATTATATTAATCCTTGTATTTTCAGTCACGTAGGGTACAGGTATAATTTCTACTTTTCCTAGCGGCTTACAGATTTCGATTCGCTTTCTTATTTCCTTGCTTGTGGCTACTTCGTTAAATACCAAGTCGAGTATATAATCCATCCCTCTGGACGCATCAAATTTTAAGTAGCCGTTCAACAGTCTAACAAAGCTTAATTTGTTATCGTATTTGCTTATAATATTGTTCACAGCTGTGTTTATTATGTTATCTATGTTAGCTTTTGTATCACCCTTTAGTTCTTGAATGTTAATAAAGTCAGTCTCAAAGAAGACGTGAGACACATTGAAGTATGACCAGCGTAAGACGTCAAAACGTCCTAGAGGTCGATTTCCAGGTTGATTTCCAATGGGCCACGATATATGTTGATTCGGCGGGCCTAAATGCTCAGTTGCGGATATTACTTTACGTATATCACTAATCTGTTTGTGAATTTTAATGGAATTTATCTGAAAGTAACGTGTTATGATATAAAACCACATACAGGATAAGGCATCTAAAACAAGTCACCTAAATAACTCGCTTGTTTTTGATTGATACAAAAAAATGTTTTAAATGAAAGTAGAACGGTTTCGAAAGGGGCGTGTGTGTGTTTTGGTCAAGTTTTTTTTCTAGATGGAGGTACCAAAAAGATATGAAGGTCACCTCCATTTTTTCAAATAGTATTAAAGTAAATGGAAAGTACGAGGGTACTTTATACTTATAGCTAAGACTGTATTATTTGAAAAGACTCACTGTGGCAAAATACATGTTAAATTTATAAATGAGCATGTGATCGTAGACAGGGTATATAGAGACTAAATTCTGGAATTCGTTTTGCTCAGTCAACTGAGCAAAGTCCTTGTCAAAATTAAATGTGGGTTTCAACCGTATAAATGTGAAGTTTCGTCCGTCTACACGATTGGTACAAGGCATAGATGTAGAATGCAGAATGCAACGACCAAAATTGACGTCGTCTGAATCCGAATATGCATTCTTCACACACCAGTCCAGATTACTTTTCATTTCTCGTATAACGGAATTACTCAAAAGTATACCAGATTCTGAAAATAATTTTAATCTTAGTTAGCTATTAACTAATTAAATTTATTGAATAATAAATCTGTACATCTCATTTACCTAAAGAACAGTAGATATCGATTTCGCTTTGAACGCCTATATGAATGTTCTGGCTCACAGTTATTTTATTTACGAACTCTATTAGATTTCTTGCATTTATGTAATTTACATCTTTAGTCAAAAAATAATAATCATAACTTTCTAAATAATTATCAACGATATATTTCAGAGAGTGAAAAGGTTTTAGAATGCTCCTTGTGTCGGTAAATCCTACTATTCCAGGGAATGAGACGTTTGGTTTGGTCCCTTCTGGTATGGATATAAAATAACGAATTTTATCTACTATATGAGCAATAGTTTTATTCAACACTACGTCTCTGCTGTGTAAGTGCTCGCGGCTCGTTATAATTCCCACAAACAACTTCTCTTTGATACCAAGTTCTGTAGAGTAGTATCTAGGACGTACAAATGCTTTCTTAGCCTTCTGTATCTGTTGCGGTTTACTGTTGGTGCTTATTCTCGGCTCATAGGGATCTACGTCTTCTAAGGTATTCAAGGAATGATCAAAAGACTCTGCTATATCATGCTGTCTGTCAATATCAATTGGTATCAAAAACAGACTAAAGCTTAGGCCCATGCATATACCTAGCATCAAGTATGCATTACTCCAACAGAGTGAATATAATATTTTAAGTAGTGCCTTCATTTTGTTACATTTAAGAAATCTTTGTTCTTTCTTTTAATTTGTTTTTATCATTTAGAATAATAAAAATAATTTCTGATAGCTACTTAAGAGACAAGTATCTCCTTTATCAAACATGCTCTAAAGTAGATATAAGAGATTCTGTAAAGTATAACATTGTGTATATAATTTGACGGCACCTATAAATAAATATTGTTACTAGTTTGATATACAATCAATAGAATATTTATAAGGTATTATGCTCTTACGTATATACGTGATACTATTATATTCCTTGTCAAGATCTCATGATAACCTTAACTTTGTCATAGGACTTAATATGCGAATGCTTGTGCATCACTTTAAATCGATTTAAAATTTCAACAATAATCAAATCATAATCGTTTGTATTACTTCTTTACTGATTTCATATATACATATTATATACACACACACACACATATAACAAAAGATTATAAACAAATACTATTATATTATACTTGTTAAAGACACGCACTCCCTCTGCTTTCTGTCTTGTACCGTATGCCTTTTCTTTTGTCTTCTTTCTTTCTACTGTTCGTAGGAGAGGAGAAGGCTAGAAGACTGTAGCGCATACTCATGTCACAGTAGTTCGCAGCTGACAGATTTTCTAACCTCAATAGTCGTTAACTTTAGTTTAATATCTTGGTTCGTAGGGCAGAGCAACATTTTTTTCTGCCAGATTCTTCCGTTTTATGCAAAAACGCATCAAATAAGCTCAATTTCATTAATTTTGGTGAAGGAGAGAAAGGTTAAACTAAACATTTATCTATATTATTAATGAACATTTAGAACACAAATTATTGGAAAATGAATATAGAAATATTGAATGAGCATTTAGAGACTTTGGCCGGTCATGTTTTTGATAATGACAAGCTGGTAAAGTTTTATCCATATATATATATATATTCTACATTGTATCATGTGTGGGCATCTAAAACAGATCAAAGCCTGTTCTACAATGTGTATTTTGTGTATCTTTTGGCCTCTTATCCCCTTTTTTGTTTTCACTTTTCAGATCACCTACAAATGGTTAAGCAAAAAATTACATGTTCATGTTAATATAGCAAAACAAATCTTGTGGAATTTTTATCAAAAATATCGTAGTGGCAACAACATAGAATGCACGTATTTATTAATAGGTCAACTAAGTGAAAATGGAATGCATGTGGAAGTTGTTAGATATTCTGATGTATCTAAGGCTAAAGAAAAATACAGTAAAATTATTTCGGAACACGTCTACAGTGTCCACAAGCCAATCACAGATCTGCAACTACTTGCTACTGCTGATTCTGGTGATGTCAAATACAGTGCAATAAAATTTGATACTAAAATGCGAAGTGATGAAGAAATACAATTATTACGTTGGGGTACAGCTGCTAAAAAAGATACAATGGAAAACATATCAGATTTTAAATCTATAGATTCGATAAATCTATCTATGTTAGAAAAGAATACTACCAAAAAAATATTACCACAAAGAAATAATTCGGTAAAAAAGGGAAGTTTGGATAATTTCTTTGGAAAGCTGACATTTCCTTTAAAATCTGCAGAAGTAACGTCATCCGAAAAAAAAAATAATGCCAAAAAAGAGTTTATTGAAGAAAAAATAATTGGAGAAAATAAGAATTTACTTGGAAAAAAGAGGATCGGAAGCGAGGAAATAGATGAAATTGCTAAGAAACAGAAGAAAACTATTACACAGAATTCTAATAATGATTCAGAGATTCAAATTGGTGTAGAAATGGAAGACTCTTTTCCCGAAAAAAAACTGAAAACTCTTGTGAAACCAAAGAATCTTGTTTCGAAAAATAAGAAAGATAAAGAACAGACAAAAAAAGAGAAGAAAGTAGAGATTAAAGAAATAAAGAAAAAACAATCCACGCTAACAAACTTTTTCAAGAAGTGTTAGAATTGCTTCAAAAATATCTAAAAGTAAAAAATGTCTATTTGTTTTTTAAATAATGTGAATGCAATGTATCTATTAATAACTCGATAATATGATGTTAACAAGTATCATATTAGTAATAATAAATAATAGATATACATAAAATAATTAAATTATGCCTTTTTTTTTGTACTTATCTAACTCTACATTAATGTTATAGGTAGATTATTGTAACATTTTTATATCATTATTATCATTGTTTCTTACATCACTTATTGGTAAAAATGTGATTTTGTCAAAACAAAATCAAACACTTTTTTGCTTAAACTAGGGACTAAGAAAAAGACAAATGAAGAAAATCACGAAATTCAAAGAACATAAGTCGAGTATTTTAGTTATAAGTAAAAGAATTGCTGTATAAGACTACAAATTTTGTCATCATCTGAAAAACTATGAAAAAAATGCTACATTTGTGCGCTGAATAAGGCATTAGAAATATATGAAACAAATGAATATAGATACAAAAGATGCTGAAACATCTCATAACTGCAGCACCTTGCCAGTATGTAAATATTTTGTGTGTGTGCATGCGGGCGTGCGTGCGTGTGCGTGCGTGCGTTCGTGCGTGTGTGTGTGTGTGTGTGTGTGTGTGTATGTTAAAGTAAAAATGACCTCTTCCAACATTCTCAGCCATCCCCTTAGCCTTAACACATATTTGTTAAAGATAATTACAAAGGATTTAATCGCAACCTTGGTAATTATTTTCATTTTGTTTAAATCGCTGCAATATAGATATTGATGCTTTTCCAATATAGATATTGATTGGTTTGTTTAAATTACGTGATCACAAAATATTTTATTTTAAAGCTCCTTAATTTGTACCTACTAATTACGTTATATGTTATATAATCCATTATTTTGTTTATTGTATATAGATAAATACAGTGTATTATAAAATACAAATACACAAGACTCCAAAATATGAACTACAGAAATTAATAAACATTTTTTGATAGCTATATAAATCGAAAACAATTACCTATTAATTAAACATATATATATATATATATTACACTCACACACACACACACATATATATTACATCACGACCACATTTTACATTTTGTTTTTCTGATAATAGCCGAATGAATAAACTGATGCAATCGAGTCAGAACAGGCAGTTTGCACGACGTACTAGCATTAAACCTGTTCTTTTTCAGTAGCTGAACTTTTGCACCAGTTCATCTTTTTTCCTTTTCTCTTCTCCTGGAGAAGATATTATCTTTCTTAAATTTAGTAATGTATACATATATCGATCGTAAAATTATCATAGATATCGGATTAAATTCCGACGTCAAATTCTTTTCGAATATCCGGTAGACCATATTATCCGGCCGAATATCAGATATTTCTCCGATCTTGTAAGATATCTGGAAAAAAGGCTTTTAAAAAAAAAGGAAAAATAGCGATAATTATTTTCTTCATTTTCCCAACGTGAAAAGAAAAAAAAGGAAGATGAACTGTACAAAAAATTCAGCTAAAAAGAATAAAGTTTTGCATTATATAATGACACAAGCTAACGATCAATATAAATTTCAACAGAATATATTACTGGATACTAATGATATCAGGCTGGATAATAAAAAAAGTGTACTGGATATCGGATATTCGGTGCATCTCTCCCTTCTACAGTTATAAAATTCACCGTGTAATTATATAATACGTATCCATAGCAAATATATTATTTACCATGATAATACCTACAAATAGCAGAATAGATGATAGTATATCAATAAAATATGTATATTGTGCAATAATTATCAGAAAATTGATTGAAAATTCTGTTACGTAAAACGCTATCGTTTGCGACGTTTGCGTTCGTCAATTATTGATATCGCTTCTATCGAACTGTGCTAACTTTATATTATGAACTTCATATCGATGCAAAACACTACATGCATTGCTTTTCTATGACAGTATAATACCTTCGTCAATCATTATGTGACGCTCCGCATGGAAAATTCGTGCAAAATAGCGGCAACAATACGTACAAATCGTAAGCGAAGGACTGCCTCTAAGGATGCTCGTGATATGACGCTATGCGAATTATCCTTTTCATTGTATTTTACATTGCGATTTATGTGGCAAGAATCGCGATTGGTGACGATATCGTCAAAAAGATGCCAAGTACATTCATACAATTATTTAAACTTAAATTCGTCGCAAGTCATTTTTTTATTAAACGTAACAATCTTAAGTTTCTTATAGTTATATTCAAATATACACTATATATTTTTTATATACACATTTTACATTTATATATTAAACATCTGGAGACACGGTAATTTCTTGGCGCCAAGCCAAGCGCAATGATACTGCCGAGATTACTTTACGCGTAATATTAACTCCCAATTAGCTACAGGTCATTTGAATTCAAAGCAAAAATTTCTGTACGATTGGTACTATGAGATTATAAATTAGAGATAAAATAACTTCGAATCTTCTTTTGCCGTAAAACAGAGGTTTATTTGCATTATGCACTTCAAATAAAATGTTTTATAACTCAGATGTAGTTTTCATATAGTTGTAATTAAGAATTAAATAACTTGTGAAGATGTGCTTTACAGCATATAGCTGTTTAAAAATAAGTCAAGTCTATTGCTCACGCACATATAGAAAATACTATTTTTTTTTTACTTTAATAAGTGACTAATAATTATTTTGCTAATATTATCGTGCATGTCATCTTAGCATTTCTTTTTTTCAACGTTTATAGGAAGCAGCAATAATAGGTATATCTTCAAACAGAAAAGTGGAGCAATGCGAAATAGAGTATCCGAAGTACCTATCGATGATGGAATAATCCAGATGATAAATAAGAACAATAAACAGTCATTATTTGGGAATCAAATCGACAGCTTTCCGCAAAATAAAAAAGTTTTAAACAATTTAAAGCAAATCAAGCGAAATCTGCGAAAAAGGAAAAAATATGCAAAAAATTCGATTAACAAGATTGTACATCGTTGGAATAATTACGTGGATGATAATAATATCAATGAGGAGGATATCTCATTGAATGTTGCGAGATTTCCGATTTGGCGAGTTTCGGAATCAACAATTGCCTTAATAAATTTGGATTCTACAACAAATCCGTCAATCATGGAAACAAAGATAATCAATCGATTGTTGCTCGTGCTTGAGAGGCCGCCATTGCAATTAAAAAATCGCTCTGTGGATGAAGCTACATTTCCTATCGCTAGGCAACATTCAAATTCGCAGAGATTACTTGATGTGAATGCTTCTGAGAAAAATCTAATACTTTCCAGAATCGCAAGTCCGAAATCCAAAGTTACGATCAACATACAAAATGCTTTTGAAGGATTAAATAACAATCATCCTGGAAAATTTATTGGCGTGGACTCATCGAATTCCAGTCGTCTTCAAGAATTTCAACGGCGATATAATGAATATCAGAAGAATTTGTCAAATTCATACAATGTTAAAAAAGAATTATTCAATGATCACCTGACAAGTTCTAACAAGAGATATTTATTAGTACCGATTTCTAAGAATTTGTACATTTTAAAGAACGTTCAAGAGAGTTTTCGAACAGCTGTAGATGGAATAATTATACCTAAGCGATATAAATTGTTAGAAAAAGATAAGGACAACGTAACATCGGCAATCCTATCGTTCAAGGCACATATGCATCACGATGTAAAAGATGTAGGTAGAATGTATCTTCAAAGAAATAATCTTCATTTATTTGATCACACACACAACATGCATTATTTATATTCTACTCTTGAGACTCGCGTTTCCGAAGAAAATGAAAATTCTACACCGGAGAATCCGGTGTCGCCGTCTTATCCTAACTTCTTGTATCCGGGTATTGCTTTTCAGACTGATCCCAATTTAACTGACATTATTTCTAAACTTTCCGAAGAACAAGTTGTTACTCCTATTACGGATTATGAAAATATTACCTTAGTGGATATTAACTTGCGTGATGGAATCAATTTTTACGATTTTTCGGCATTTTCATCAACTTCTTCATTCGATATTTTTAATTACGACGTATCGTCGAAAGAAAACGCAAATTACAGCCAACTGAGTATGTTATCTGCAGCAAGATTAAATAAGATAAATCAGATTCGACAAAATAGCGGAAATTACAGAAACACTTTAGGATACAACGAGTTTAATGTCAAATTGGCAACTACGGATTTTCGAGATACTTTTGATATGCCCGATGATCACATATACAGGCCAGCTACTTTAGAAGATGTTAAAATGGATTTAATTAATAATAAAAAAATATGTGACACGTCACAAAGTCGAGAAGATGATTCGAAATTTTTAACGGAAAGCAACGGAGATAAATCTATACCAGACTTTATAGATAACATTTCGGCGCAATATAATGCTACTTTTGACGCGTCTATAAATTTAGATAATACTTTCTTTTCAAATATCACTAATAACTTTGTTAATAATACCACTTTAAATAGCCAAGATACAGATAAAAATAATCAGGAATACGAAACCTCAACTTCAAGCGAATATTACAATAAAATGTTAACATATTCTAATAATTTTTATTACAATAATAAATCTATCGATGAGATGTTGTTCACTAATTATACTACTAAAGTGAATTCGTTTCTTAATGCAGAAAATTATGTGATATCTGCGCCATTACTTTTAAATACTGATGAATGGCCATTAAAGGAAGCGCCTAATGCAGAAAATTCAAATGCTTTACTAATGGCAATTAAACCATTGTCCTCAGAGTTACAAAAGTTGCTAAGCGCAATTCAGTTAGTTAATCAAAGTATTAGCGACGTGCAAAGTAGACTGTGCGATAAAAAAAAAATCAAATTAGCGAGGATCGAGCGAGAGAGTAAAAATAGAAACACCACAAATATTGCTAAACTAGTTGATAAAGTAGATTATTACAATTCTGATTTCTCTACAAAATGTTTTGATAATCAATCTTTGAACAAGAAACGTATTGCAAACAAAGGTAAAAATAAAGGTAAAAATGTTGCAGAACGCGATGTAAAAATTAGAAAAACAATTATCTTTTTAAATAAATCGACTGCACCGTTTTATAAGCACAAAAGCTCGATTAGTGATTCTGAAGTACAGAGCGGTCACAGAAACTTCTTCAAAAATAAAAAATTAAGAGAGAGAGAGTTTTCCAAATCAAGCGACCAATTGCTCCATTCGAGATTTAATAGAAATTTAAAGTCTCTCTCTGTGATGAAAAATTACGAAACACGAATAAAGCCAATCCGAAAGCTTATCGGATTGAAAAACATAAAACGTACAACAACGCCAATTTTAAGATTGTCGCGTTTGATTAAAAATAACATATTGAACATAAATTTTGCAGACGGCAGACAAAATCATCAAGAGAATGATCAAATAAGTAGATCGATAATTTCACTATATAATACATCCTCTTTGGGTATATCTGCAAAGAAGGACAATTCAGCGCATTTCTCATCGAATAATAAACAATATTTAACACAACGCAATGTGAGAAGAGCAATGTCGAATAAAATGTCTAATTTTGGTAAAGAAAAAAAATTTCATCCCACTGATCCACAATTCTATAAGGAAGCGACAGCTTATCTCGATATACTTGGGTTACTGGGTAAAACTAGGAATCCTCACGTAAAATATGCGACTGATGTATGGACCACTCAGAAACTAACGGAATTGTTGCCATCGCTAATTTTTACAAGTACAGAATTTTTTGTACCTACCTTAACATTTTTGCCATATTTTACCGAGGCACCGAGAATTACAACTTCTAGTAAGATTGCAGAAAAGAAAAAAATTTTCGAGGTAACCGAATCATCTTTATATGAATACGTAACAGTTACTGGTTTTGGATACAGTGCGGATCGCGATAAACAAAATTGTACAAGCATGTATAAAGATTACGAGTACGAAGATGTAACTTTTAAAATAACAATGTCGACTATGCTGCCACTACTTTATATGACAGAATTAACAATTTTTTTAATGGAAGAAGCTGCAATATCAACCACTGATTTAACTATGACATCAGTTGTTGCGATTACTATTGAAGTAACTGAAATTCCCATCACAGTTTCTATAATAGAAAATTTTACAACCGAATCTGTTATTCTATTAACTCCATTTTTAGAAGGTATGACGGATATTACTTTAAAGATTATGATTCCTGTAGCTACTAAAACTTCAATCGAAAAGATATCCATGTTAATTGCTGTAACCGTGGCTACCGAGAAAAAAAGTATAGAAACTACATCGACAGGTCTAGCTACGAAAATAACGCAAAGTTCATTTATTGAAACAAATATATCATTATACACATTCTCAACTGTATCATTATTTGGGACTACACAAACAGAACTAATGATTAAAACTACAACTTCTACCATATCAATTTCAACATTTCTAGCAATTACAAAAGCTCCTCAAATTGCAACATTAGAATCTACTTCTGGCGAAAGTATAATTTTGTATAAAACTGAAAGTACTACTGCAATCGCAAGTTCGCCTATAGCTTTAGAACGAACCGAAACGATTTTAAGTACAGAAATTGCAGTAACAACTTTAATACCGGAGGACGAAAGCCCAGTGTCACAAATTGAGAAAACCATAACTGCAGAAGAAACAGCTACAGAAATTTCAACGTCTATCGAAACTACAACGCCTACTAAAACTACAATAATAACTACTACTGAAATTTTAACTACTAAAGAAATTTTAACTCTTGAAACTTCAATTATTGAAGGGACTACAAGTACCAAAACTTCAACGCCCAGTAAGACTCTAACGTCTCTTAAAACTAAAACAATCGAAATTCCGACAACTGTCCAAACTTCGCCAATTACTGAGATTTTAACTATAGAAACTGCTATTACCGAAATTCTACCGATTAATAAAACTGTGCTAATTGAGGAAACACCAACAACTATCGAAACTTGGACAACTAGTAAGACACTAACGACTAGTATAATTCCAACGACTATAGCTACAATAACAATGGAAACTTTAACATCTACTGAAATTTGGACAACTCACAAAATTCCAATTATTAAAGAAACTACAGGTGTCAAAATTTTAACGCCTACTGAAACTCTAATGCCTACTGAAATTAAGACAACTTCCGAAACTTCGATAATTATTGAGATTTCAACATTTATAGAAACTGCAACAATCACTAAAATTCTAATGATTACTGAAACTACAAAAACAACGTTTATCGAAATTCCAACAACCAGCGAGATATCAACGACTAGTACAATTCCAATGATTACAGAAACTACAGCCATTACAGAAGTTTTAACACCTACTAAAATTAGAGTAACTACTAAAATTCCTACGATTAAAAAGATTGTAAATACTAAAAGTTTAACGCCAACAATTATGGAAACTTCATCAAATACCGAAACTCAAATGGTTACCGAAATTTTCACAATTACCGAAAATTTAGAATCAACAGAAATTACAGTAATTTCGACTACGTCTATTACAACTGTGTTTTTTACAACGACAGAAAATACTACATCACTCGTGGCAACGTCCTCGAAAGAATTTTTTCCTATATCAATTTTGACTACTTCGACTACAATTTTTACTACGGAAACAGCTGAGAGCATTTTAATTTCTTCGACAACACCTGTTATAAAGCCACTACAAATGTTAATTACAAATACGACGCTAAGTGAAACGCTGTATACTACGATTACTAGCATGTTTTTGACTACGACAAAAGGAATTATTACAACTTCTTCCAAAACTACAGTTCCAACTGCGCCATTAAAAGTAACAACAACAATGCCAATATCACTGGTTACAAGTACGATGTCAAGTGAAATACCGAATACTACGACAGCATCTTCATTTGAGACATTATACACTAAAGCTATATTATCAGTTTCTGTAACGGTGTTCACAGTCGAAACGTTCTTGACTATATCATCCAGCTTGATTGTGAACGCTACAGTCTCCAGTACAACTTCTAGTACAATCACGACAGAAATCCTCAAAAGTACAATATCTTTGCTCACATATTTAATGGTAATAACACCTATCACTCAAATTCCAATCAAGTCTATTATAACTGAAACAACAACTTACGAGACTACGTCTACCCTAGTTACCTCACCTCTTTTAACAGAAATTATTAAAGATACGACATCTTACGTAATAGAATATGAAGAAACTAAAGAATCTGAAACATATTACTATAAAACCATAAAAGAAGAAGTAACGACAATTACGAGTACAGCTGAACTAACGAAAGAACGTACAATTTGGATTACTGCGAAAGAAGTCACCATCATCAAACAAACAACACCAATGACGTTTTGTATCACATCATTTTTTGTCAAAACAACTACAGAAACAACTTCCCTCGTAACCGAAACGATTACTTTATCCATAATAACTGAAGAAAATTTATTGATTGAAGAAGACGTGACTCCTGGAACAATAATCGAGGAAATATCGACATTATCGGAAGTTACAATAACATCCACTGAAACAAGTACAATGTCAGCAATAGAAACATGTATTATGAATACCAGTTTAGTACTCACAACAGCCGCGACAACTGCATCAATTTTTAAAGAAACTGCGACAGAAATTACAGAGACAAGTTTAATAACAACTACTACTACAACAACTACATTGTTGCCAACTATTGAAAAATTGGAATATGCAACAATTTTAGAAGCTGTAGTTACTGTGACGATTGCTCCATTTTCCGAATTTATTTTATCAATAATAGTTACGTCTGTGACTACGCCGAAAATTATTTTTACATTGCCAAAAACTGAATCGGAAAAGTTTACGATGTCAATAACTGAAAGTCCAATAACATACGCTACACAAAGTTCTATATTATTTATCGAAACAACCATCTATCCCATTATTTCAATATTGACAGCAACTACTGAAGAATCGCCAGAAGCTGAGACAGAATGTTATGTAGCAAAAGAACCATTTTATGAAGAGGAAAGATATGAAGAATACGATACTGAAATACCGACTGACAGGTGGTATTATTATGACGATTACGAAACCATGACAAAAGAAACATCTGTGACAGAAAAATATACGAAATTATTTAAACAAAAGACAACCAGTCCGACTTTTACTCAAGGCACAACGATAACTTTATATAAAATAGAAACTTCAGAGTTTATAAAATATCCAACACCTTCTGAAGCTGCGACTTACATTAATGTGACTTCAACTGCGGCTATTTCAGGAATATCTTATACATATATCGAAAAAGTTACTTCAACTTCTACCTTAGAAACGTCTACATCGACTACAGTTCAGAAGGTAACGACAGTTAAAGTAGAAATTGAGTTCACAGCTTCCACTGCAAACAAACAGATAGAATCGACAATGACATGGCCAATTTTTAGTTCTACTGAAGAATACACTCTTCCTCTTTCAACAATTTTCAAAATTCCGACGGAACCACTTGAATATTTAACAATTCCTCCCAAGTACACGGATATAGAACGGTTCACGCGAATATGGCATATTACCTCGCCAAAATTCATTACAAAGCCTAAAGAAATTCTAAAGATTGCATTGAAAAAGACTACGACTCCAGAACAAGTTTCAGAGACTGAGGTTGCCGAGGAAAAGTTAACTTCTTTTTTCATCTTATCAACGCTAACGACGTTACCAGAAAGGGAAGTTATTGAAATGCACGTAACAACCATGAGTATTGCATCTTTTGAAATGAAAGATATTATCGAAACCGCTTATAAAATCTGCACTTCAGCGATGACGGAAAAAGAAACTATTCCGAGTGTAACACCAATTATCACATCCGAAGCTGAAATTGAACTTGTATTTACTACGATAAGCAAAACTGTTGAACGAGAACAGAAAGAACAGTTACTACAGAGACTTGAGAATCTCAAAGAGCATGAGAGAAAGATAACGGAGAGAGAAGAAAGGCTGAAGGAAAGAGAAAGACAATGGAACATAGAAAAAGAAAAACGCAAAAAAATAATGCAACCTGAGAAACAGAGAGATAAGAATATTACAATAATAACGGGTATAACCGAAAGCTATGCTACAACAGCTGCTATCAGTATCTTGATTACATCTCCTATCTATACTATTGGTACAAAAAATTTAACTGTGTCGACTACAGAAATTGAAATTACATCCCCTGATTTCGAGACATCTACTACTATGTTAAGTTTAATCGAAATTACTACGGTTCCAACAGAAACAATTCTATTTAGTATCACAGAAGAAATCACATTCGAGACATATACTACGGAAAAGACGGAGGAAGCAACTACAGCAGGAAGTACATTTGTGACATATACTACAAAAGAAACAGTTACATCTTACACTATAGAGAAAAGCACATCTATCACACACATTACAAACGAGATGGAGGAAGTGCAAATTACAGATTATATAACTTTAACGCCGTATGTTACTACGATATCTATCATTGATTTATATAATACCGGTTCAACGTCAATTGAAAGTACAATTCTGTGTACTATTAAAGAAATGTATACTGCAAGTTATGTATTTGAAATGACTCCATTCAGTACAACAGAGGAAATCATATCTGTGACGTATACTACAGAGAAGATAGAGGAAGTAATAGAAAAAATTACATTTACGCCATACGCTATCGAAGAAATAAAGGAAGCAATTACGCCTTACATTACGGAAAAAAGCATGTCTATTACATATCTTACAGAAGAGATAGAGGAAGTGCAATTTACGGATTATGTAACCTTTACGCTACATATCACTACATCTGTTATGGATTCATATAGTGTCGACTTAGTTGCAATTGAAACTACGACACCTTATACTGTTAGAGAAATATATACTACGAGTTACGTGACTCTTTACAGTGAACCTTTATTCGTTTCACCTATCATTACTAGTCCAATTGCATTAGTCACCGATAAATTAATTACTTTACCTACATTTAGTGCAAAATTTGAAGAAATCAGTATAACTTCAGTTGCAACCCCCACGTGGCACACTACAGAAGAAACATACATAGCAACTTATACAGATATTTATGGCAAACCTTTATTCACTTCATCGGGATTAGAGTTTACGATCACTTTATCGACTATGGCTATTAACACGATTACACAGGTAAAATACGATGAGGAAATAGAAAAATTGAAAGAAGAATTGCGCAAGAAGAAGCGCGAATTAGAAGAGAGACAAAAGATTTTGCTGGAAAGAGAGGAAAAATTAGAGAGAGATATAATGGAATTCAACAAATACATAAAAGAATTTGAAAAGAAAAAGGCATCAATTATACCGTCTGAGAAATCAACAAGTTTATCAACGCCAATACCGCCAACTGAAAGGACCACTATAAAAGCTCAATTAACAATGGAGGTTAAAAGAATAACTGAAAAGAAAGAAAATCGGACGATTACAAAGATGGAAACTACTCAACATATAGAAATAAAAGACATGAAAGACAAGAAACAAACAAAGTATATTCATGAAAAAACTGTCACACAGAAAGGAGAACAAATAATGACAAAACGAGTGTGTCTAAATGTTTTAAAAAACACAACGGTTCCTTTCGATAAAATAAGAAGAGATATTGTAACCAAAAAGATCTGTCTGCCGTACTTTTCTGAAAAAAATGAAGAGAAGAAATCAGTCGCTAGATTAAGCAGAAGGCTTTTCGCTTTACCAAGTACGAAAAGAATTAAAAGACCGAGATGGAATGTTCCATCATTTCGGTATCGCAGAAGAATAAAAGAGACTACTCGCAACATTGACAATCTGCAGTTGTCGCATTATGAATGGCTGAGCAACAATACCACTAAGCCACTGCAATACTTTAAAGGTTTCACTAGAATTTATAGAAAAATGAAGAAATTTCCAAAAAAGGTTGTAATGCAAAGCAATTCGACTAACAATTTTCAAGATAGAGCTTTTCTATATAAGCAACATATTTTTAATCATAAAAATATCTTCCAACCGACTGCAACGTCCATGTTGGATAGTAAAAAATATGAAAAGAGAAATGCATTCAGATACGATTTTATTTCTACAAAAAAAAGTGACTGTTCTATTGACGACAAAGCAAGTGTCCAAAAAAGAAACGTTTCATCGATAGAGAACAATAAACGGTTTTGGTCAAAGAAAAATACAGCTAATGTTTTAAATCAAAAAGCAATAACTGCAGCCGAAGAAGATGAAGTTTATACGGTAAACGTGTTACATCTTAATTACAATGAGGATAAACAAACGCATGAAGTAATATTTGCTAAACCAGATCAAGATGAATTAACAGCAATTTTATCTGAATCAAATGATGATATTTATGTAACTCAATTTGGGAAAGATAGAAAAATTACCACGCTAAACTATGAGATTGAAGAGAAAAATGAAGATAACAAACTATCAGATAAATTGGAGAAAAAAATGGAAGAGTATAATGATTACATCGAGGATTTGGTAGAAGGTATATGCTAAAAAGATAACTTAACTTTTCAAATATAATTTCTATAAGTTCATTTTCTTATGCTCATTTATATAATACCGTTTGTACGCATTACGCAAATAATCACATTCGGAGAAAGACATAATGATAACAACTATTGAGTTGGAGAAAACATCTTATTTTTACATGTATGTAAAAGAACTTTTATTTTACGATATCTTCATTAAAAATGAACAAATATTAAATTTAAAAAAAAAGGTTTTAATGTTTAAAATCTCTACTTTCGAAAGGTTACTATATTTTTTGAGTTTTTGTGAGTCTAATAACTTTTTTATAATTTATATAAGAAACTACAAGTTGAAAAAAATTAAAAATTTTTTTTTCACTTTGTGGGCCTTTTACCTGCCAAAAACAAATTTGCAAACATTTTTAACTACCTATCGTGAAAGCTTGAAGCTTATTTATTAACTTGAAGCTTCTTCTACAAAATCATTTTTGTTTAATGTTCCTACGATTTGTTCTTGAGTTAAGTAAAGAAACATTCCGATTTTTTGATTGCTCATAACTCCTTTAAATATTACCACACATTGAAAAAACAGATTATTAAAGCTGAAACTTTGCTTTATTCAATAATATAATTGCAATGAAAATTTCGCAACAAATGGATTGCGGAAGAGTCCTTATATTATATATACATATATATAGAACCTTCTCCAATCCATCATTTGTTGCATTTATATATATATACTTTTTTCCAACCCAATATAATGGTGACAATTTATGCAAATTTTTATAGAATTAATATACATAGTTGAATAAATTACTTTACAGTTGTAATAACTAATACACAGTGTTTACTCAACTGTACGTTATTTCTGTAAAACTTGTATAATTATCAACTTCATAGTTGACATCACTATATCTTTTTTTCTGTATAATTATATCATATTCTTATTTCTAAGATTTTATTGCAGTAGATATTAGAGAATATATTTTTTCTCGTATGACATCTGACATTGTAACATATATATATATATATATATTCCTCTGTAAATTTTTTTTAATATTATAGATTATATGAATTATGAAGAACATGAAACATCAACACGAATACATGATGGAAGATTGTTAGACAACAAAAATAAGAATAAAATAATGACAGAAGAAGAAAAAGAATTATTGAATCAAGCGTGGCCCACTGAGAAAAGTACAATGTATCATTTAGGCGGTACTAAATTTTGGGAGCTCGATTTTGTTACGGAACCATCAGTTGTATTACGTATAACTGATAAAAATGAAACAATTGATGGGTCGATCATCAAAACGACCTGTTTTGATGTTGTTCTTGAAAATAAAAGTAATGATAAGATACAATCTAATATATCTTATTATAAGCGCCACATTAATAGCAATGGGATGACGAAACATGTTTCTATTGAAAAACGAGATGCTAGTTTTAAAAACATAACGAGAATGAATGTATTGAGTTACAAGTTAAGAACGAAGCAACTCAGGATGGTAACAAAGAAATTAAAACGCGAGTCGCAAAAGCACGGACCAAATCATTATAAACGGGGAAGTTTCGAAAAAAAAAGTACAGTTAGATTTAACAATTTCCGGCGTACCAGCAGCAAAGATTCGACAGCAAAAAATCGCAAACTATGCACTGTTAATGCGAATAAATCGAAGCGTCAAATTGTTAGACACATAGATATAAACAAGCAGAAACAACTAGCAAAATCGCGAACATTACAAAATTTACATTCCCTTCATAATAAAATCGTGAATAAAAAAAATGAATATCATAAAACAACAACCGTCAATCAATATCTTCAAATAGGAACCACCAACGATAAGAATAGTGAGAAAGTAACGCATCCTAATATCGATCATAAAAATATATCAACACCTTCGCATGAAAAAAAAGTTTATAATTGTTTCAATTGCATTTGTGATATCGTGAATGTAGTTAACAACATAAGATCTTTACTTGACAAAATAAGCTTCTCATTAGACGAAATTAAGATACTTAATTGCAGCGAATATAAAGAGATCGAGGATAAGATAGTGATCTCAATGGATTCCGATACAGAGGAAGCTAGAGAATTTCCCCAACCGCATTACAACACCGAATCGCTCAAGGGACAGAAATATATTAAACTGGAAGAATTAAAGGACAATTTCAAAAGCAACTCGGAACTTGACAGCGGTAAAGTCACAAATTTTTTGTCAAGTATTTAATATTGAATAATATATGTAGAAAGAATTTTTTTCCAGATAACGATATTATCTCATTACCCGGTCTTAATCTCAATTTACCCTGTAATCAAGACAGCAATGGTATCACATGGCTATCAAGTGTTAGCAGACCGAGTTACACGTGGAAAAGAACGGACGGCATTGCGCTCTTCGGTGCGGTATCACATTGTCATCCTGTCACATTCGGATTAAAAAAATGCATTTTACAACGAAATGCAACGAATATGAAAGATGTCATAAATATAAGGCTCAATAATGGATAATTTTTTAATTATGATGTATTAAAGGTGCTTTGATAGTTTTACACCTTCGATACGCTATTCATTGAGACTTGTGCGTCTATGACATATCTCTTGTTTCATATTATAAAGTTATACATTATATATAAAAACTAATTCACCAAAATCTATTCTTTTCACATAATTAATGTAAAATTCTTTTAGTGAAATTTGAAACTTACGAAATCGTTCGTCATAGGTTTCGTAGCGGAAAACGGCGATTTGGAATTACGAAATGTGAACGCAAAAGACACAGGGAATTACACATGTGTCATGACATACATGAGTCCTGATAACGAGGAATCCGTGGAAACCACTTACGAGGTCCATTTGCGAGGTGAGAATCACTGATTGAAATTTATATTTCAACGAGCTCGAAGTAGCGATAAACGAATCGTCGGACTAAAAGGAGGCCTTTTGCAGTTGTCACGCTGCCGAGGTATATTCTGCACGGAGAAAATCGTTATCATGTACGATCTTGCGATGAAGGAGACTTGGATGTACTAGTAACATATCTACCCCGAAAATTGAACAATATTATATGTGAGGCAGATGTCTGCAATGCTTACGTCTTAACGCCGTCTTGCTCCCGAAATCAAGTACGTTCCTTTATGTTAGAAGAAAGTCACCGACATATTGACATAGGTCTCCTAAAGAATAAGTAAAAGACCCAAAAATACTGTAATATAATTTTAAATGCTTTTATTTATTAAATATATTGTATAAGTGATATTATAAGTAATTTTGTATTTAAATTTTACTTGTAAGTAGTCATTTTCAAAAATTAAGTAAAATTAAATATACGCGTACAATTACTTATAATTTAAATATATATATAAAAAAAAACATTTAAAATCAGTTATAACATGAAAAATAATGTGTATAATACAATAAAAGCTATAGGAGTCAGTGCAAATATTATTTTATACTTACGAAAATAAAATTTACAGAATTTTCTTTTGCAAATTGCATAATGCAAATGGCTATATTATTAATAATACTACATCACTTTACATGTTTGTAATTTTCTAAATCAATTATTTTTTCCTTAATATGAGTTTTATAAATATAAAATTGGAGTGCAGCACGCGCGCGTAAACATCTATCTATAAAATAGACCGTATAAGCTATCTTAACCATTTAGTGTTGCATTATACTATTATAGTATCAAATAGTCCTATTGGAACTGAAGGCAATCGTGTATTTATGAGAAAATCTTAAAAAAAAAATTGTCGCGTTTGTCTACAATCCCGATTGCACACACCACTCACATTGGCCGGTGCCTATAGTAACTTTTCTCTGCTTTACCAACGAGATTATATTATTTTTAAATTGGCCAATCAGCGAGCAATGTGTGCAATCGGGATTGTAGGCAATCGAAACCTTCCCGAAATAAAAAAATTCTAGAAAATATTATACACATTTATTTGTAGATATTTATGTAGATGACTTTTATGAAAGAAAAAGAATAGAAATATGTAGATAACATTACTACCTAGTCTGCTGTTTTGAAGTTCATTATATCAGGCACTCATTTTTGCTTATTGTATAAAAAAAATTAATTATTACAAAATTGTAAAAAGTATTATAAAAATACTGCTATATTTTTTAACAGAAGACACGTTCTAGTTTATATTTATGTTTCTAAAATGTTAAAAGTTCTATTTTTAGTTTTATCTACTAATGTGCGCTATTCTTGGTTACAGATTACAATAAATATTCTGATAGTGCCATCGCATATCATTAAACTAATGATGGTCGATCCAAAACGCTGCAATGTCTTCTGTCTTAAAACCATTCAAGATAAACTCTCGCTGATACTAAGTAAAAATCTGCAAATCTTCTTAGGAAAGACTGGTTAGTCGACAAATATATATTCGTTTTACCTTGTGTGTCGCAACATATTCTCTACTTTCTTACAAAAAATTAACTTTATTCATTCTATTTTGTCTGATTTTGCCTGTACACATTATTGCTCAAAAGTATATTTCATTCCACTATTTCTCTTTTTTAATTAAATAACGAGAATTTTTATCTTTCTTAATCTTTTTTACATATTAGTAAATATTTAATAGCTCAAAATTTTATATTCTACATAAAGAGAACATAGTAGAATTAAAATGGAATTTAAACGTACATATAAAAAAAGTATCAAAATCGGGGTGGACAAAATACTTTTGAACAGTAGTATATGTTGCATTTTATTATCTTTGTGTTATATTACAAAGAATTTTTTCACTTTTTTGTTCAGAATATACTCGTATATTCTCTCTCTTTCTTTATTGCAGCGAATGTGATAAAAATGGGGTTTAATAAAAATTTACAATTTTATTGAATTAGAAGAAAGGAAATGTTGCGGCTTTATAAAACTCACAATACATCTCTATAGAGTTCTTTAACTATAGTTATTTTCAGATTACCGCATTACGAGCAGAGACTGGTGCCGATCGTTGAAAAATCGTCGTTCGCAAGACGGAAGAGAGGGAAAACCGATGCAAACGTGTTCACCGGGAAGTCCAGTAATATCGGTTTATTCTCCAGCTGTCCAGCGGGATATGGTCTTCGTGATACACATTGTGGTATGTGATTCGCACATTAGGAAAATCAACAATATCTATAATAAATTAATTAATAGCTAACGGATTTTCTTCCCAGTTCCTTGTAACGTGGGCACTTATAGCGAGGACGGAATATCGCACTGTAAAAGATGCCCATCCGGTACGTATCAACCGTATCACGGCGCCAGACTTTGTCGGACGTGTACTAATCCAATGACAAAAGGTTGTTACAATATGGTACGTATCCGATTGCAGCTTGTAAATTATATGCACAGTATCTCTCTGAAGAGTTTCTAGATAAAAATTCTAAAAAATCGATAAATTCAGATATATCAGCTTTTATTCGTATACTTATGTATATATTTTTCTATGTACTTTTTCTTACAAGGCAAAAATTAACTTCATTAATTATATTTTGTCTGATTTTGCCCATACATTGCTCAAAAGTATTTATCCGCACCGTCTTTCTTAATTAAATGAAGAAAAGTTTTAGTCTTTTCTAATATTTTAGATTAGATGTTATTATATTGTATATAGGCTTAATAATAATATTTAACGGCTCAAAATTTTACATTCTATGTATGTAAAAAAAAATATAGTAAATTTAGAACATAATCTAGACGTATAAAAAATATACCGAGTGAGTCATTTTAATCGAACCAGGCAAATATCTCAATAAATATGAAAGATATACAGAAAAATGTTTAGACAAAAGTTAATTGTATGGTTCAGAGAAAGACATAAGTAACTTTTGTCTGAAACATTTTTCCATATCTTCTATATTTGTCGAGATATTTGCCTGGTTCGATTAAAATGACTCACCCCATGTATATATATCAGTTTCTATAATAGCTTTCTCTATTCCCTCGATACATACACAATAGAATGTGGCACAATTAAAAGCTATTATAACATTTCTTTTCCAAAATCACTTTTAGCTGGTACGTTCCATTATACGTGTATCTTGCATTGTACATCATCAAAAAATTTTTATTTTAGGCACAATTTTATCTTAGAAAATAAAAATCTACTAGGCTAAGTAAGTATTCAGGGGATTACTGTGACCTGTTTGGTCAAAAGTAGCGAGATAATCTTGACTGTAAGAACATTAGGAGTGTGACTCTGGCTGCGTTCCATTTAACGCTCGCAACGCTCACGAGCATCGGTTTTCCTTTTGTTTGACATTTGATAAACAAAAGGATGAAATTATTTCGCGAACATTGTGAGTGTTAAATGGACGAAGCCTCTGTGTTTCCAGACCGAACTGTGAGTTCGACGTTTTATTTAAAGGTTTTGAAATGACTTTCACAAAACGACGCATCAGACGGAATTTAAGCATCTTTTTAAATTAGTGTCTCCTGCAAGACTGAATTGCGCAAAAAAAATCAAGACTGTAATAATAATTACTATATTGTTATAGTAATATTCTGGTTAATTCTACTAAAATTTTAGTTGAGATAACCAGAATTCTGATTGATTTAATCAGAATCTTTTGATTTGTTCAACCAATATTTCTCTCAGTCGAAATTGACATTAATCTTTAAGGCACAGTCTAGATACTATTAATTTTTAATATTAATCTTTAATATTATTGCGGTATACATGGATCACTTTCTCTCACAGCTCTGGAATTCTTTCTCTGCTGTAATAGTAACTCTGGCGAGTATTGGCGCGATACTGTCGATATGTTTGCTGTCATTATGGATAATTTGTTGCGTTAAGAAGAAATTCCGCATAAAGCGAATAGCTGATCTTATTGCCAGAGAAAATAAATTTAAAGGAGAGGTAAAACATTAAATTTTAAGAAATGATAGAATATATGGACAGTCGATTTTTTTACTTTACAGAAACATATGAAGGAGCAACCATTGATTAAGAATACAAGTGAAAATGAAGAACAGCAATGGGATAGCGAGTACAAAATCAAGAAAAAGAAAGGAAAGTTCTATGTAAATAAAAAACATCGAAAACAGAACAAAAGCAAAAAATATAAGACACACGTTCGTACAATTGTTGAATAATACGACAAATTTGTATCGATCTTAAAAATTCGTATGTAAAATTTAGCAGAATTTAAATTATTGTTCAAAGTCAATATCGTTTTTTATTTCACTATAGTTATACGAAGATGAATGGGAATCACATCCTATAAAGAATGTCCCAATAAGTAGTCCAGACTTTTATCGATCTCATGAAGATTATAACAATCGTAAATATATTCTGATATATAAAGTAAACATATGAAATCTTTTGATCCTACTTCTTCACATAAATGTTACTTATTCGTTCGTGTGTATAATAATTCTGTCTATTTTACATAGATTATTCAAAGAGGTTGTGTCATAAAGGACCGCGCTTGCCAGAATGTGATTTTGATACATGACAAAAAACACACCTGTAAGAAAACTATCACTGCGAATAGCGAAGAGAATTACGTAATCTAAGAAAAACTTGTAAGATATTTTAGGTTCAATTATTAATTGAATTATTAATTGAAAAACTATGTAACATTTATCCGATTACGTGCATATATACTTTTAATATATATAACTATACCTATTAAATAGCACATTAATTATATCTATTGGAAAACAACGTATATGTTATAAATAAATGTTGTATGCACAGTATATGGACAAAGAATATTTCGAAATATTAACGATTATATAATTTTTACATATATTTTGATAGCTCTTTATTTTAATCTTATTTAACTTCTTATTATCGCTCAATCAATGATTACCTTTTCAACATTTTCGAAGCACTGATTATACTGTTCAACAAGATATGATTTCTTTTTCTAACACTGGAACAAGACGAGTCATTTCCTATAATCTTATTTGGACACTGATACAAATCCGCACGCGCAATTTCCATATTGCTCATCATATTAAAATCTTGAGAAATTTGTAGCTTAAATGACAAAGTATTTTGTTGTATTAAATATATCATAACTATAATATGTGATGTGTAAAACACGAAACATATATTTATTATAGTGCAGAAATTTTATTATAATCAAAATGTCTTGCAAGATGCAATATATATGTTCCTAGGATTCTCAAGAGATTTTTTGCATTGATTATGTGTAGTTAATGAAATATGCATAGTTAAATGTTGCGTCTATTGTAAAAAAAAACTTTAAATTAGGTCATTAATGATTTACGAAAGTTTTTAATTATATTTACCAAAACTTAAGAATTCTTGAACCACTGAATATGGTTGCAATGATATAATTGATAGATAAATATAAATCATAAATTTAAAACATGAAAAATATTCAAAAAATATTTAAAGGTCATCTACAATTAATAGATATTAACAGTAGTGATAAGACTGTAAAACACGTCGGGAGTAAACAGGTTTTTCAGTATAATAGAGCATAAAATAAATTTATAAGCAATAAGAGAGAACGTAGGAAATGGATTTTAATCATTCATTTACTTTACGCCCTATAATTAAAAAACCAATTTACTGTATCTTACATTCTTAACACTACTATTGCTATTGCATTGTAAGTTTCTAAAAAATATTTGAAAATTGTGAAAATTTATAATACAGAAATCTTTTATAATTTTGAATTTGTTAATTTTGACATCAGGATTCATATTTATAGTTTGAAAATCCCTTAAGTTTAAAATGCTTAAATAAATATAATGAAAGTTCTTTGGTACATCGTATATAACTTAATTCACAGTTTTCCCATAGACAGATGTTCGTGGTTTTTTCACAATAGATCTTATACTTAACAAAATATCATTATAACCACAGTTAACATGAAAAATTCCTCTTAAGATTTGAAATCTTACAAACATGCAATAAAATACTTTCTCTAATATGTTATGTATTATAGTTATAACAAAGTAATTAAAAATAACTCATTTTTTTAACTTTAATTTTCACTTTACAAAATTGTAACGTGATAAAAGAACGTTTGAAGCTATATTCATATTTTCTTAGAAATACATCTCTATTTATTTTAAATGTTAAACAAGGTAAATGATATACTCATGAACACACTGCGAATGCCAAGTAAAATGCATCCCTAGTAAGGAAGAAAATGGATAGTGAGTAAAATTTAAATATCCGATTATACACTCAAGACAAATTATTATTAAAATTATAGAATTGAAAGTTCACAACAAAAATGATATAACAATTTTAAAATAAGCATCTACATCTGACAGACATTTATGAGACTACATTATCAGATATTCATAAATCAACTTTATTATAAACACATACAATTGCTATTGCATTATCCTAGTGTAATCAAAATGATGTTCACACAACATTGATTAGGATTTCATACTAGTCCAAAGCAGTCATGTAATCTAAAAAACAGAATAATAGAGTGGTATCAATTTTTATCAATTACTCAAAAATATATGTATTGCATTAATGGCTCCATGAATGAATAAAAACCAAGAAATTTATTTTATAAAATACCTGATTTGCAAGGCGACACACTCAACATACTAAACGCTTATTTTTTCAATTGATGACGGACTATGAAGAAGGGAAGAGAAAATCCGCTGCCACAGAAAAGCATAAATCCAAGTAGTAGGAAATGCCTATTTCTCGTGCTGAAGGGTAAGTTCTATGAGAAAAATCACGATTAAACGTAGTCCAACGGCCGTTTTGTACAACAAATTGTTATGCAATTGTGCGAATTTGTTACTCACGTATCCGGGAATGCCATCGTAAGGATCGTGATGAGCACTTCTACGAATCACACTTGTTGTGAACCTTCTCACCTGGTGAGCAATTGCAATTGCTGAATTTGTCATCTTCGTTGAAAATAAATCCTCAACACCAAAATCAACTTCTACAGTAGTTACGTCACGCAATACACACTAGAGAATAGACTGCGCGCTGCGCGATCATAAAAGCGTCAGGCTGGGATCACATTGAGCGGAAATCTACAGCGGAACGGAACAGCGAGACCAATCACAATCGCAGAAAGTAAAGCAGAGGAATAATTGTAGAGTTCTGATTGGTTTCACTGTTCCGTTCCGCTGTAATTTCCGCTCAATGTGACTCCAGCCTCAAACGTCATTGACGCTTGCTATTCGTCAATTTTTATCACGTGATTTGTTTTGACGCTGAAAATGAGCGTCGAGCGTCGCATGAAAAATCAGCTTAGGGCCGGGAATCAGACTACGCGTTGAAAATTGAGATTAAAGCGGGGAGCACAGACTTTTGCATAACGCATAAACCATATACATAAAGAATTTGATTGGTCCATTGACTCATGCATAAGAAAAGTGTTGGGGCTCTTATTGGTCGCGTTCAGCAGACTCAACTGTTGCGGAGCAAATCCGTGAACGCTCACTGCTATTGGATGATCTAAAAGAATATACCAATAGTAGTGAGCGCTCACGGATCCGCTCCGCAACAGTTGAGTCTGCTGAACGTGACCATTCTCTGTTCCCTGTTCCTTTTATTCTGCGTAGCCCCTAACGAATGCGAGGGAAATACTACAGTATATACGTTACGTAACTATAGTATTTTCCTACATTATCAAATACGTTTCTTTTCAAGAACAGAACCCCTGTTTGCGTTGCTTGCACTTTTTGCACTTAGCAGCTTTGTTCTCTCTCTTTTCAACGCCTAAATCTGGAGACACGGTAGTGTCTCGGCGCTAAGCCAAGCGCGCGACACTGCCGTGCCTCCTTTACGCGAATCTGACAAATTCGGGGGATTGAGATGATTATATCTCAGTAACGGCTGAACCGATCAAGTTTATATACTTACCTCGCTTTAAGAGAAAACATTTTTAGGGATTTCAAGCAATCCGAACAAACTTCCAAGTTTCTGATTGCCAGCCTGATATGTATTAAGCTAGGACTCCATGTATGCGGTGAGCAGCGGCAATGCGGTGACCAATCAGGAGCCAGGCGCATGCCGCATCCGGCAGGAGTCCGGCATGCGCCTGGCTACTGGGTATCGATTATGAAACTTTTTCCCTAGGATGAAAAGTGAAAAATTTTTTCATTAACTTCAATGGTAAAAAATTTCACTTTTCACTTTTCATCCTAGGGAAAAAGTTTCATAATCGATATCCTGATCCTCCTGATTGGTCACCGCATGCGTTTGCCGCAGCTCACCGCATACATGAAGTCTTAAGCGGGGAGCACAGACTTTTGCATAACGCATAAACCATATACATAAAGAATTTGATTGGTCCATTGACTCATGCATAAGAAAATGGACCAATGAAATTCCTTATGCACATGCTTTATGCGTTATGCAAAAGTCTGTGCTCCCCGCTATAGGCTTAAGACTCCATGTAAAGCCCATTCTACATTGTCGTATCGTAGCATTGTAAGTGTCGTGAGACTTCTAATTGACACATCGGATTGTCTGTTGCAACAAATTTGTGACCTGCGACGCCTACGATACGACCAATGTAGAATGGGCTTAAGGCTTAAGACTCCATGTATAGGCTTAAGACTCCATGTATAGGCTTAAGACTCCATGGCTTATGTAGGATTCACACTGTGTACGACATCCGACGTACGACGGTACGATATCCAATAGCAGAGCCTTGTTACAAAATATTGTTAGCTATATATCAAGAAAACAAGCTCTCCTATTGGATATCGGACGTCGTATGTCGGACGCAGTGTGAATCCTACATTATGACTCCGATTTTCGTCGTACGACGACTCTGCAACCAATCAGAAAAATCGTATCATCAATGCGAAGCAAATCCTGTTTTCTGATTGGTTGCAGATTCGTTGTACGACGAAAATCGGATGCAGTGTGAATCCAGCAATAGGCCTGGGGCTCTATTTTTGAAAAGAAACGTATACGAAAGTCTAGGGAATATACGTCACGTATACTATAGTATTTTCCTAATTTTTCGTATACGTTTCTTTTCAAGAATATAGCCCCTGGCTTCTGATTGATCACCGCATGCGTTTGCCGCTGCTCAAGCCAGAAACACATAGAAAAACGTAAGGCCGTAAGACGTAATCAGTGAGGAAATCGTAACATTGGATTCGCTACCGGCCTTACGGTCTCTACTGTGATTGGCCAATTCGCTTACTGATTATTAGCGTTTTCCACTGGGAAAACTGGTGCAGCACTAGCGCCGTGCTACCCAATCAGCATACCATATTTAAAAAATACTCCACCAGTTTTCCCAGTGGAAAACGCTATATGTTTTGCGGCCTTACGTTTTTGTATGTGCCATCGGGCTGCACCGCATACATGGAGTATTAGCTTATTTCTATGGAGTTACTAATGTTAGGTGTGATTCCTGAACGTAGCCCTGCACCATCGCTGCACCGCCTCGAGAGATAAGAGGCCTATTCTTTTTGGCTGAACTTTTTCACCAATTTATCTTTTTTCTTTTTTTCTTCTATAGAGAAAAGGAAGGAAGATGAA